ATATATACGCCCGTGGCAGTTAACGCATTGGCTGAGCAAGGCATATATATACGCCAGCGGCAGTTAAGGGGTTAAGGAAATTGAAAAATAAGTTTTCAAATGAAATGTTTAATTATTACCCATCTTTGGATACAAAGTAAAGACTCTTTGTGATGTAGAAAGTTGTTACATTGAGCATCAACTGGTTGTGAATATATAAGAAAGGAAACATTTAAATAAATTTTGGAAACCACTACTGTTAGTCTATCACTCCCGAGTTAGTTCTTAAAACTCTATGTTTTTGATCAATATACAAAAGTACAAGGGGCGAAGAAGTATTCGGCTAATCTTTGGAATATGGTAACAGGTAGTTTGACGACATTTTGGTAGGCGGTAAAGGTTACTACCTAGGACTTTGGGGAAAATGTGAGAAGTACTCAGTTCCGATTACGCATTATTTTGTGTGAGGGAAATGAGAGATCATGAGATATGTCATGTAACATTTATGGACGAATCACAGTTCTTTAATCGTAAAAGGGGGTAAATTTGTAAAAATATCTGCCGTACTTTATAGCATTAGGTTCATTCTATGTTCTGTGAAACAGTGTTGTTTAATATTTGGATCCCATGGCCCTATGTAAAGTAAATCTGAAATTTTTACTGCATTTATGTGTAATCCAAAAGAATTTCTTGAGTGTAGGATTAATTGTGGATAAGTATGAATGTCCAACATAATGAGATTGTGTGAAAGGAAGGATATTACACATAAGTTTGAATGCTGGTACAAGAAATCTGGTGAAAATGGACATTTTGTGAAACGTAATGTAAGGAAGGGTACGTGGTTTGCTGAAAGTCGTTTGAGTTTGGGTGAAATTTTATTAATTTCTTATTAGTGGGTGCATAGACTGCCAGTTGACTACTGAATTATTGAATCTATAAGAAAAGTTTATCCGCCATGCAATCAAGATTGTGAAGAAGATTACGTAAGTTAGTATTTTTAATCATTTGAGGATATTATTTTTATGCATGTAAGGAATAAATAAATTAATATGGTATTATTGGGAAATTGTTATTAGCAATAGATTAGTGTAAAGTAATTAGGATTGTAAGCTAATTTTTATTAATTTAATGTATGTGCTTATTTATATTTTAAGTAGTGTTTTTTAATTTAATTATATTTTAATTTAATGATTTTTGTGAATTATATGTTTGTAGTTTTTTGGAATACATTTGAGTAGAAGTAAATGTGCATGGAAAGAATTTAAATATTTGATACTAAGTATTTGGAACCATTTTTAATGTTTGCGTTATAAATTTGCAGGTGACGTTTATAATAGGTAATTTAGAGGGAAAAGTTTTTGGATATTTTATTTATTTTATACGTGCAAATGTTCATCCTTGGAAAGGGTATATACTTCTTTGGGATCAGGTAATTTCATATATGTCCTTTTTACCAAATTTAAAGATTCACAAAATTTTCCTGCATTTTCGTGAAAATTTTTCTAATTTATGAGAAAAAAGCAGTGTACATGGATATAGTGAAGAGTGTGCGCAATGCCATTTTGTGCAATTCTGGGATGTTTTTTTAAGTAAAAATAAGTCGACGTGTACATGGTTTAATTATATTTTAATTAAATGATAATTATTTTGTGAATTATATGTTTTGTAGCAATTTGGAATACGTTTTTCAGTAGAAGTAAACGTGATGGAAATAATTTAAATATTGACAATAAGTATTTGCAACATTTTTAAGTTTGCGTTATAAATTCGTTGGTGACGTTTTATAATAGATAATTTAGAGGGAAAAAATTTTTTGGATATTTATTTATTTTATACGTGGAAATGTTCATCCTTGGAAAGGGTATATACTTTTTCGCGATCAGGTAATTTCATATATGTGCTTTTTACCAAGTTTAAAGATTCACAAAATTTTCCTGCATTTTCGTGCAAATTTTTCTAATTGTCGCCAAATTTTTGCCAAAAAATCGCCAAGTTACCATAATCCAAAGATCAACCAAGTATTCTTCTAAGCTTCAACCAAACAATTTTTGTTATAATCAAAAGCTGGAAACTTTGTGAAAAGCTTTACTTAAAGTGTATTTGACTTAACCAGACTTTGAGTTATTATGAATTGATTGCATTAATTTGAATACTGTGTATCTTTCATACCTCAAATTTCAAATATTCAAAGTTTTTTTTGCTTAAATTAAAATTTTTCCGATGAATTAAAACTATTAAAGAAAAAAAAAATAATAATAATAACCGGGGGGGGGGGGGAGAGAGAAGATTTTGCAACCTTTTTTTTTTTTTTTTAAATAAATTGAATTACTTTTGAATGATACTAAAAGTATTTTTCTCTTTCATCTCAATAAGCCGAATTTGGATGACATATCTGAAGCATGGAGATCATATGCCATATTTCGTTTGTAGAAGACTATAACTATTAATACTAAGAATTTGAACTTCTTTCATTCTTCCGGATTATTTAAGTTACCGTATTTGACGTCATATAAGACGCACCCTTATTTAGATGGCCACACACAAGGAAAAAAAGTTTCAAAAGCGTGCTTTCTTTTAGTTCTAACGTTTCGTAAAAGCCAAATAAACAATTATTGAATGCAATTACCTTCATGTATAAGATGCAGGTAACTTTTTTGAGACCAAATTTAGGGAAAAAAAGTATATGCCGTCAAATACGGTATCTTCACATGTCACTTCATTCTTATTGTTTAAAAATGTATTCTAATAAATATTTTAATTTCTTTTAATAATATAATTATTATTATTATGCTTTGGAATAAAGCAAAACAGTAAGGTATTGCAGATTTTACATTTTTTGAAACATATTATATTTTTCTCTTTGAAAGTTCAAAAGATATTGTTTTTAAAACAAATATGGGTACTATTCGGTTTTGAGGGTCGTAAAAAATCGCCAAACTATTGTTGATGCCAGTGCTGCCAAAAATAATTGCGGCAACCCTAACGCAAGAAAGGAAGTCTAATAGTAAATAACTATCTAAGATTTTTAATTTAAATAAAAAGTTAATTTCATATAATACTTTTTTATTATAATTTATATAAAAAAAGCTAAACATGACTGAATGGAAGCATAAGAGTAAATAACTAGTTCAGATCATTATTATTATTTATATAAAAATTGCTAAACATAACTGAATGGATGCCTGCATCGCTATTTCTCTACTGAGTTATTGCTAAAGCATAATTTCATCTCATTGGTTGTTCAAGCATAATTTTCTATAATGAATGATGCCTTTTCTATGAAAAAATTCTTGGTAAAGTGCAGAATCGCCCACTTATTTGTTTGCCACTTTTTGCAAGGGTTAAAAAAACGATTGGATTTTTGTCAATTTTCTTTCTTTTTTTTTTTAAGTGAAAATAGGTCGATGTGTACATAGATAAAGTCAAGGGTGTGTGCAGTGCCATTTTTGCGCAATTCTGGGATTTTTTTAAAGTGAAAATAGGTTGATGTGTACATGAATACTGAGTATGTGCAATTCTTAAAAACACATTAAGCAGTGGGTGATTCTGCACTTTACTCAAAATTCTATTGCAGACTTTTCGTCACAGGCAATTCCCAAATTGTTAAATCCATAGGATATCAAAAAAGGATTTAAAAGTTAAACTAGTATTTCAATGGTGTCTTAAGAAATGTAGAACTATATAAACTTCATCAAGCGCACGCTAGATTTGGCCCGCTGTTAAAAGTGATCAAAATAGTAATCTGTTTTACACTAGTTGCAATTAAAAAATTGTTTATCAGAGTTTTAAAAATGTAAGGCTATCAGTGAAGCTGCTGACCACACTTGGTTCTCTGTGGCTTCAAATCATGATGAACAGGGTGGTTGCAGTTGTTTTAATGTTTTTTTTCCCGTGGATAACCTATAAGCCATTTTTTTAAATGGTCTTTCCTTTCTTCTAAAATAAAAATTGCTGTGAACTTGTTTCTTGTTTACTTTTATTTCGAACAAAGTGCATTTTGATTTTTTTTTTAACTGTTCTTTACATTATGCCAGAACTTTTTTTTTTTTTTTTTTTTTTTTTTTTTTTTTTTTTTTTTTTTTTTTTTTTTTTTTTTTTTTTTTTTTTTTTTTTTCTTTTTTTTTTTTTTTTTTTTTTTTTTTTTTTTTTCTTTTTTTTTTTTTTTTTTTTTTTTTTTTTTTTTTTTTTTTTTTTTTTTTTTTTTTTTCCTTTTTTTTTTTTTTTTTTTTTTTTTTTTTTTTTTTTTTTTTTTTTTTTTTTTTTTTTTTTTTTTTTTTTTTTTTTTTTTTTTGTTTTTTTTTTTTTTTTTTTTTTTTTTATTTTTTTTTTTTTTTTTTTTTTTTTTTTTTTTTTTTTTTTTTTTTTTTTTGTTTTTTTTTTTTTTTGTTTCCTTTTTTTTTTTTTTTTTTTTTTTTTTTTTTTTTTTTTTTTTTTTTTTTTTTTTTTTTTTTTTTTTGTTTTCCCTTTTCAGCTCTGATATGAGGTTTTTCCCCTTTCCCTTGGATTTTCATAGTCTTTTAAAATCTCAAATGGATTTTTCAACTTAATGTCCTCTTGGATAATACTTGTTAATTTTAGAGATCTTCTGTGCTATCTTGAGATATATCTAGAATATTTATAGTATCATGCAAGACATAATTAAGAATTAAAAGCTTAAACCAATGTTTCTGTAATTTTTAGACTCTGGCAATCTCTGCAAAATACTCTGCAAGACTAGACTGTGCAAAAATAAAAACTTACATGCACCCGTCCCCCCCAAAAAAAAAGTAATTTCTGTATAATTGAATATAAGGTAACATAAATAAAGCAAAATATATATATATATATATATAATTTTAATTAATTTCAAGGACAGACTGTAATGTTTTGCGAAGGAAACATTGTATGAACATTCCCATGACCTAACAAGGTTAAAGGGAGAAAAGATTTGTTTAAGCTTTGTCTGTGATGATACAGAAGATATGAGGTCAGACATAATGCAGCTGCTAAATTTGCATGTGACATTTATTTATTTAAATTGGAAATAGCATGTAAGAATGCATTTTATTTATTCAGGTTAAAATTTTACTTGTAATGCAATGTCTTTATTACGGAAATTACATAAAAATATTAGCAAAATGTAAAATTATGAAATTATGCAAAATTTGTGAGTAAATAGCCTCAATGAACCTGTCAGATTAAGTACTAAATATGTCTAATTAATTATTTTCATTATTAAAAGTGCATCTACACTTTATTTCTGAAATGACTTAGATAAAGTAATAAAATATAATAATGTACAGAAAAAGTTCGTCCAGGACATGTATGGGTAACATTCCAGGACAATCCTTGACTTGCCTTCCCTAAAACAGGACGGACAACTCAGTATCTTTATATGACCTTGACTTTCTTTTTATCGAAATATTTCCATAAGTGGCATTTTTAGAACAATATTCGTCTTGCAGTGGAATGGTTAGCTGTAACATTTGCATTTCAGAATCCAACTTAGCTTTATTTCTGTGCTGCCTGCCTTGAAGATGTTAAAGCGTTTTCGGAGAGAAACTATTTGGGGCAGACCTGAGGCTATCGGGGATATGTTAAAAGAACTAAGTGATGAAGAAAATTCTTTTTCTTAAGATGAATAAGAAAAAGATGATTTTATTGAAGTTGAAAATCATGGATAGTGGCAAAGATGAAAATGAGGAATTACCATTTAACAATAAAAAGGAAGAAACAATTCTTGAAAAACAAACCCAGAAAGATGAAAACATGAAGTTGAAATATGAAGCTAAAAAAGTTGAAAAAAATTTTTGAGTCGTGACAAATCTATTTACCCTGCTAAAATTCAGCTCACTCATAAAGATAAAGTGATCATCTGTTCCTAAATCAAGCAACGCAAAGACAGCATCTTGCAATATTATTCAAGGACCAAAGGACTCAGTGAAAGAACTTTACACTCCTCTTGAATCATTTTCTTACTCCTGAAATGCTGGAAATAATTGTT